TTTGGTTTGGTAGTGTACCCTGCACGAGGACCCGTGCTACCAGGGAAAAGACGAGGTCAAGAGCAGAAATGGGAGGAGGATGACCGCTTATGGGCTTGCAGGAGGCAGAGACGCCACTTTCGGACATGTAAAGCAACTTAGCTAGTGAGCCCTATTGGCTTTTTAAGTCACCGGGCGTAATCAACTTTTGGTTTGGTAGTGTACCTCAGCATTTCCGTCTTCTTTTTTTCTTTTTGCTCTCGCACTTTTACACTCATGATATCCTTCGAGGAACTCGGCGTCATTGGCTATTCATCTGCTCTTCTCTGTATCTTCTCAGGACTGCTACTTTATCAGTTTCGATCGGTACTTTTTCGTGTCGGAAGATCTATCAAGCAACCATATTTAAAGCATCTCTCTTACCGGCCGCTTATACAGAACCAGCACTTCGTGTCGCAATGGAGCAGAGCGGATATCGTAGCAGAAGCTGCTTACCTCGGTCTGAATATCGGCTGGCTCTATTTCAAGAGCGAAACTCTAGACACTGCTGGGCGGCGAGCTGCAAACCTGTGTCTCGGCAACTTCCTTGTTCTTTTCCTAACACCGCATTTGAATACCTTGACTAGTGTGCTGGGATTACAAAGGAGAACGATCTGCAGGTTGCACGGATCGGTTGGGGTCGTCACGGCTTTGCTACTGACATTTCATATCATAGCAGCCGCGTTGCATGCCCCTTTCCCGGTCAAAGTCGCAGAGAACAAATGGGCCGTGGTGGTAAGTCGAGATGGACATTTTGTGCCCGCGCAGACGCTTACATGTCTGTAGGCGGCAGCTTCTCTGGGAGGTTCTGTCCTTATCTGCGCTCCTGCCATCAAGCTGAGGTGGTATGAAGTTTTCCTTCGTCTTCACCAGAGCCTCGCGATTCTGTCAGTGTACGGCATTTGGGTACATGTACCTCCACGGCGGCTTCTTCCCCTCATTCATCTGTATATGCTGGCCGGCATCGTCGTGCTATCTATGATCGCACTCGGTCTACTTGTGCTGTATCGCAACGGCACATTTGGCTACAGCCATCCTCGAGCGGATATCCTGAGCTCCAGAGGAGCCGTCTTCATCAGAGTTAACCTTTCTCGCCCGGTTCACGTGAAAGCTGGGCAGTATATCAACCTGTGGATATGCATGCCATCCCAGCGTTTTCGTTCTCTATTCGAGAGCCATCCGTTTGTAGTAGTTTCTTGGTCAGACCGCGCTGTCTACGAGCTGGACCTGTTGATCGAGCCCCGGTCAGGATTCACCAGAGACCTGCTCCGGGTCAGCAAGACCAAAGTGGAGCCCTATCGCGCCCTTTTCAGTGGACCACATGGCAACAGTATTCCTCTCGGAAATTATGAAGTTGTTCTCATGATTGCGAGTGGCTATGGCATCGCCGCACAGCTACCCTATCTCAAGCAGCTGATCCACGGCTACAATAGCCGCAAAGCACGCTCTCGTCGCGTTCACCTTGTCTGGGAATTGAAGACATTAGGTATGACAAGCCCTTCAATCTTTCCGTGTGGTTCTGACTTGAGAAGACCTGGCTGCCGCAACCGAATGGGTGCTGGACAACGCGCTGGACGAGGACACGTTAGATAATGGTTATGTAAGTAAAAGTAAACGTTCGCTTTTGATGATTGTATGTAACCAGTATAGATTCTGCAAATTTCCATCTACGTGGATCAGGTTAGAAAAGGGAAAAAGATGAGCCCACGCGCTATGGTCATCAAGGGCTTACCGCCTTGGCTCTCCATATTCCAAGCTGAAGCTGACGGAAAATTGATCAGGCGAGTGCAGGAAGAATCGTCAGCGAGAGGAAATATGATCGTGACGGTTTCTGCTTGCACAGCCGTGCGGCAGGAGTTGAGGGCTATAGCGCGGAATTACGTTCACGAGAACGTGACCCTAATAGAATTAGATTATCAACCCCCTCGATCTGAATTGGACAGGGAACATGTGTACAAACCGCCGGATCCGCCCGGTCGGCAGGACTCAATCCGTGGCACAGCAAGTCATCAGGATACGGCACAAAGACATTCCAAGGAGCGGAGGTTGTCTGGACCGACTCTTGTCGAGAGATCAGGTAGCTTGCGACGACTGCCTGGGTCTACACTGGTGGAAGAGTCAAATCATCATCGGAAGCAAAATGTATAGAAGAAATAAGCGCGGCACGACGAACTTTGTTGCTCATGAGCTTTTGGCGAGGTTGGACTGTTTACGATGCCAATTCCACGGGAAGAGCTATATATTCTCGTTGAAGTGCAGCCTTGCAATTTCTAAATGAATACACTTTCAAGCTATCCACAAGATTTATAATTTAAGATTTGTCCGCTGCCTCAAAATCTCATCATCTGCTTTGTATGTCTAGCCCAATTCCGTTGCTTCAAAGCAGATTTGGCGCCGCGACAGTCTCCGATCCTATGTACTGATGGCTTTGCGTTGTCCATGCCATGGTCAAAGATATGACACCTTGAAGTTTTGCTCTCTGCCACGAGGCCAGGAAAGGATGCTGAGTTTGTTAGGCGCGATCACTACAGGTCTCGAGTACACGTACCAGTAGAAGCTCTTTTGCTGACGAAACAGACGTCGTCGCTCCGAGAAACTGTACGGCTTCGGGACTCCATCGTGATGGGTCGTCGAGACCAACGCTACCTCCATCCTTGACATAGCCGTCCATCAATTCCATCATGACGCAACCCAAACGACGAATGTCTTCCTTCGTATCGGAGTAGACGCAAGTCCATTGTCTGTCTGGCCCTGTCGTGTAAGATCCTGTTCGTCCATCTTTAGCCGTAACATACCTAGCGTAATTCGCCCAGTGGGATGGAGCAATATGTCAGAGCAGGTGAGGGATTCATGCCGTAGACCTTGGCTCTCCAAGTATACCAAAACCGTGACGATCTTTCAGATATCAGGTTTTGTAGGATCGGTCTCGAATAGCACACGTACCTGCCCTATAATGGCCGCGATCATAGAGCTATCCATAAATGGGTTCCCGACAGCCTCTTGAAGCGAACGTGCCGCTTGTTCGGTCACTATATGCCAGGAGCCATGCTGGCGGTAGATTTCGTGAACAGTCGTGAGGTTTTCGTGCTGCAATCGTTGCAGAAGCTCAATCTGAGTTCGACTCAGTTTGTCACAATGATGAATGAAAACCACGTCATACGACGGGCCGCCTGTTCTTTGTGCGACTATGACCGGATCGTTCATACCTAACCTCAACGTGTACATCCTTGCAAAGTCATTCCACGGCAACCCATCTCTCACTGGAAGGGTGTTTATTGCCTTGGCCCCGAGCTCCAAGGCAGTCAAACCTTTCAAGGGTGAAACGCTGCTAGCGTATTTCTGGAGCCTGTTTGCCATTGTGACTAGTCTTGACATGCTGAGCGGCGGCGAGTTGTACGGTCATTTATAGCTGATGAAAGCAGAGCGGGACTGGCCCGAAACGGCGCTACGATTGAGCGGCAGAAATTGGATGTTGAAGCGAATAAATTGTGACCGAAAGCTTCCACAGCCTACATGCCCTGCTAGATCATATTACATACCAGTCTCTCCTAAATACCAATAGCGAGTCTTGCTGGCGCTGATTGATGCAAGGCAAGATCAAAAGCCTGAACCAGCATGATGGCGCCAAGTTTTGAGGCGGTCAACCAGCGAATCGAGCAGGAGAAGCGTGCAAGATTCTGCGGGACCGCAAGCTTACGCCTCTCCGCTCTGGAATACCGAAATCCGCGCCGCGATGGCGCTGGCCGCAGTACCCGCAACATTGATGCCATAGAGCGGATGTTTCGCCAAGAAAATGGCTGTCGCAAAGAAGACAGCCGCCACCATGCCAAGGCCGTGATCAGTCCGCAGATGCTCGAAGCGGCGCTACGAAATGCTGGAATTTCGGGCGAAAAGCTAATGTCCGATGCTTTACCCTTTTATGAGCTCGAGTTTGACCCTGGCATCCAGATTGAATGCATTGAGGGCCACGATAGACTAGCTGCCGCAGATAATGTTCTCTATGGCTCGAAGACGAGATGGATTGTTGATTTATACCTCAATGGTAAGCTACCTTGTTTAGCTTCTGAGAGTACCGCTGACTGAAGCAGATATTAGCGACGATTTGCGCCTTCTACTTAGCGATGGCTTCGACTACCAAAAGCCGCCAGATGACGGAACATACTACGTCACCATCAGATCGTTTCAAGGCCACCACGGCGAGAAGAATCGATTCTTCGAGAACCTGTGGCTGGGAAGGCTCGCAACAAATGCCAACAAGCGGGATCTGTTTGATCAACTGTCAACCGACAAGATCTTGTGCTCCAGTTTTGATGAGCTGCTCGAAATTCCCGCTCTGTTTGGCGGGTTTTGGCTGGGCTCTATACATCACTTGATACGCATGAAATGCCCTGAGGTACTGTGCTTGCAGTGGAATCGCTTTACAATCGTTGACAGTTGGATAGCTACATCGTTCCTACCTGAACCACACATTCAAATGGTGGCACGATATTTGCGGTGGTGAGAAAGCCGCCATGCGGCTAATCACGCGCGAAGATGTCGAGGCGCTAGAGGGTAAAGCCCCGGGCGCGTGCGCAGCCGACGCTCGCAGCCTCTTTTCGCAGGTTATGGGAGGCGAAGTCTTCGGGAACTTTGCCCGGTCGAGGCGTGAGGAAATCTGGTCTCTGGTGTGCAGTTCTTCTCAGCGGTGCCTCGTACCGTCCTTGACAACATTTTTCAACGATCGCAAGCTTCTGCACGATGCGATTGATAGCATTAGGAAGATTCTAGATTTTGGAGACAAACCGACTCTGAACAGTTCTCTCCAGGAAGCGTTCAAAGATGCGGACCAGAGACAAGATCGGTGTATCATTCAACTCTCGGAGACAACGTTTGGCAGCGTAGCAGGAGATGCCGAGCTACGGAAGAACCTTGCAATTCGGCAGATATGGTTAGCTGCTATCCGCAATTACACAGAGCTACCTGCCGAACCACAGAAGAGCTCCACGATGGCGCTGTCGCGAAGTCAGTCTAACATCACGACACTGTATGAACTGGCATCCCTTGCTTCACGGCTTGGATTCAAATCCGATAAAATCAAGGCTGTCTTGCAGGTGCTACCTGATAGAGCAATCGCTAGGAATGCGCTCCTTCAAGCTCGGAAACCTGCAACGTTTATCTTTGATGATCTGGAAAGCTGCATAGAGCAAGTCGTGGATGTTTTCGCGGTTGCCACGCCGGTTGCTGCAGCGGAATCTGCGGAAAATATGGTACACAAGGTGAAAAAACGTACTGTGTCACTGAAGCGCTTTGGAAGACCCAATCAAGCAGATCATGAGTACGATCGAGAGCGTCTATTTTTGCCGCAGTTTCACGAAGGTCTCAACAGCAACATGGGAGAGATGAGCTCAACTTTTGTCCGATGGTCCATGTACTGTGCATACTTTGGAACACCGCCAGCCCTGGGTGCGGTAGACATCGAGACTCGTGCTAATTTGTCAGTCCCCGCCAGTCAAGCCAACGAGAAGGCGCAAACTAAAATGACTTTTGAGGGTGAGCATCAGTTAAAACTGGAAGAATTAGCACGAGATGAAGAAAGCCGTCGAGAACTGCTAGACGAACTCGGCTTGGAAATTCGCCGTCGGGAAGCGGAACTTGCAGAGCTGCAAAAGCAGACAAAGATAGCACAGACAAGATTAGATAGTCTTCATGAAGCGGACGACTTGAGTCATAATAGTATGCCTGACATTCGAGATAGCGTCATGGATCTTATACCGGATCACCCTGTCTCAAGAAGCCCCAGTCCGTCAAAACGACAGTCCTCGGAAGTGCCTGCTTCGCAGAATCGAAATACACATCTCGAACTCCAGAACCTCGAAAGCGATAATCCGCCTACGGAGCATCGCAGAAGACAAAATGGTACAGAGTCTGACAAGCCTTTCCAAATAAAGTTTTTGGAGCTGAAGAAGACTATGACTATGAAGCCATCGCAGAAAGGACATGGGGTAATGCAGCAGGCCACATTGTATATGAAAACTGGGTATAGTTTGGCTGATCGGAACGGGGCACGCTTGAATCCAAGGGACTGTTATGACAAGGTCGTTGATGATCGGACTTATACAATCATTCTACAAAAGAATAGATAGGGAAACTTTGCTCGAATATAGCACGTGGATTTTAAATCGTGGCAGAAGTCTGGCAGACCATTATAATCCGGGCAAGGCCCAGGCTGCCAGGCTAGAAGGCCTAGGCTAGAAGGCTAGAAGGCCCAGGCTATAAAGCCGAGGCTATAAGGCCTAGGCTGGAAGGCCTAGGCTAGAAGGCCGAGGCTGGAAGGCCTAGGCTGGAAGGCCCAGGCTGG